GGGGGACAGCGGGGCACCGCAGGTACCGTACGGGCCGCGGCCATCACCGCAGCAGGGATGGGGTGGGATGGGATGGGATGGGATGGGATGGGATGGGATGGGGAGCTGGCACTGGGGACAGAGGGAGTGTGTCCTCTCCAGGCCAGACCCTGGAGGATCCGGGTGGGTTTTTGCCCCTGCTCAGGCAGAGGTGATGGTGGGAGCCTCGGGGGCTGGATGAACACACAGCTCTGGCAAAGGGCTGCTGGAGAAATCGGGTTTTCAAAACATCCTTCGGCTGCTTGCAGCGAGGCTGGCTCTGCTGTCAGCCACGCACGTGCCGAGCTGAGGAGCGTCTCCAGTGCTAGTTTGCTCAGAGCAGAGCCCAACCTGCAGCACTATTATTTTTAATTCACTCCACTGGCACTCAGGCTGTTTTCCAGGAGCGGACATCTCAGAGGGTAAATATTACCTCCTGTGCATGTAGAGAAAAGCTACAAACACTTGCACAGATACCTGCGAGATAGCTGGAAATTTTTAGCAAATCTCTTTCCATACCTCATTCACTTTTTCCATTCGCCTGCTCTCTGAACACCTTTGACACGATGCCACGTTGTTAATTCTTCTGTCTGCGCTCCCCTTGTCCGCTCTCACTCCCCTCTGCTGCTCGCCCTCGGTGCGGTGGGACCCTGAGCCACGGTCTCAGATTGCACCACGGCAGAGTTTGGCCCCTGGACGCATCCAGGTCAACGTGGGGCTGGACGGGGCTGCGGGTAAGGACTGTCCCTCCTCTCCCACAGACCTGACGCTTGTCCTGGCTAACGGCCGAGCCTGGAGCGTGCCGGTGTGTGTGTGTGTGTGCCAGGAGCTCAGCAAAGCCTCTCAAATTTATAACTGGAGCTGGGTGATTTGTATGCTGTTTTCAGCGACCTGTGAGTCCCGTCGTCCTAATTTGTGGCATCACACAGCGTGGGCAGTGAAGCACCTGGGATATTTTGGGATAAAAGGCTGGCTGTGGGTAGGAGCAGCTGGGATACCCAGTGTGAATATGGAGCTGGACCACACCAGTGAATGGCTTTCAGTAGCAATAAACCTGGCATGCTTTTTCCCAGGGTCTAACATTCACAGAAGCAAATAACTGGGCAAAGAATCAAACATAAGAAGAAATAACAATTCTTTGTCAGTGATAAAATTAATTTAAAAGTGGATTGGGAAGCTCTGCCACCGCTTGGGAAGCTGTGTGAGACAGAAGCCCAAGTGCAGTGGCCTCCTCGAAAATCCGCTGCTCCTCTGGGCAGTAGCAGAAAACACCGAGTCTGCACTGAGAGATTTTGAATGTTATTCCCTGTGATCCAGCATTCATTCTGCTGATTGAGTTCGTCCCCCTCTATGCTGTTAAGCTGCCAGCTCTGCGCAAGTTTCCCTCGAGGTAAGGAAGACAAATTGAATCTGGGCTGTGGGCTCATTTGAGGCATTTCCCAGACTCTACTGCTGCAGATGGGGCTGGCTCTGGGGAGACAGATTTACAAACTGCAACAAATTAGAGTAAACGAACCTGACTCAGTCACACCAGCAGCAGAAGGGCATGGCAAAACACTAGGGAAGGTTTAATCTGAGGTTTCAAACCAGACAGAGAAAGAAAAGGGTCTCTGTAAACAGAAGTGGATGATCAGAAATGTTATTTCACTCTCCGTCCTCTTTCCCAAAGCGAACGTTTGGATTCTCATCTTGCCCATAGCCCAGGAGGTGACTGCAGAGAGGAGCTCTGCTTAGTGCAGGCTTCTGGAGCTGGAGGCTTTCTCCTGTTAGAGAAGGATAATCAGAGCAAAAAAAGAAGTCTTGTGCTCTCTCTCGAGCGGCTCACTGGGACGGCCGTGACGAAGGCACCGAGCCGGGCATGCAGTTCCCAGCTATTCCCACCACACTTCCCATGTGCTCCTCGGGGAGTGATTCACTGGGAAAACACAGAGGGGAACGATGGGGTGGGGGACCATTCCCCACTGACTAATGCCACTTTTTTTGCCAGGGAAATTTCACAGAAAGCCACAAAATTCAGTTTATTCCTGTGTGAGATGAATCATTTCCCAGCTTTTATGCAGCAGCCATTACTGCCTCCTCGAAATGTAAATAAGAACTGCTCTGTGTGCACTTAAGAGAAAATAAACCTGGCTACAGGATGTTGCCCTGTTCAGGCGTTGGGTTTTGCACAGCTATAGCTAGCCTGCTGTATGTCTCTGCAGTTGTCTTAAGTTATAACATACCAGTCCCAGGACACTTAATGCTTGTGAGGTTCTTAGGCAAAAATAAAAAAAATAATTGTGGGAATCAGATCTCGGTCATAATGTGCATAGCACTGGGCAACTGGTGACGACAGATCGAGAGCTATGGGACAAGTACTTTTCTTGGTCTGACCTGCTTTGATCCCACTGACATCAATGGATTTCTCTAGATTTCCACAGAGATAACTGGTCTGCAGCTGACGCAACCGAGAACAATATGGGACATAATAGAATAGTGGGAGGTCATTTTCCTCTGCAGAACAGGGGCTGCTCCAAAGCCTAAACTTCAGTGTAAAATTTACAACAAACAGCCTTATGAAGAGCCTGAACAGAAGCGTTTGTCCTAAAACGGGAAAAGCCATTCCCTCTTTTTTCAGAAGCACCAAAAATCCCTATTGCTTTAGCAAGTGCTTCCAGTTCTGTGCCAAGACCCCTGCGGAGGTCAGCGAGAGCCCATTGTACGCAGCAGGTATGGGGTCAGCCGTGGCTTGTAGTAGCTGAAAAGTTTTGCATCTGTGTGTGTGTCACTCTTCTGTCTCCCCATCCATCCATTCATCCATCTTCATCTGCCACTTCAGCACCTCTGGCCCCAGCTGGGGATGTGCTCGTGTGCTTGGGCATGTCCCATTTGTTGTGATGGGCTGTAAGCACTCCTCTCTTAAGCGAGGGTTCCTGATGTGGGACCTTAGTGCTGATCTATTCATTCTCCTCTGTTAATCATTCCTTTGTCATGCCTACAGAGCCAGAGCAAAGCTGAGACCCCCCACCCCAGCCCCAGACCCCCTCACAGCCCCTGAGCTCACCCAACTGCAGAGGGGACCGGCTGGAAGCCCAGCCCACCCTTCCAGCTCTCAATCCACCGCGGATGCTCTCGGGGTGATGTTGGATCTGGAGCGGGTGCAGTGTGCTTGGCAGGTCTGCAGGACGGGCTCTAGGAAACGGGGATGTGGGGGAAAAATCTCACCTTCACAGCCAGCCCGGTCCTCAGCCTGAGACCTGCTCCGGGCCAGCACTCAGCGCGCCTTGTAGCTCACACTGGTCGTAAAACCAGTGGGAGACGAGGAGATTTTGACATTGTTAAATCTAAGAGGGAGGTTGAGCAGAAACATTTCTTTCTTGGCCTGGAGATAAGCATTAATATTAGATGTCGTGGGAGTACACTTCTATCGTCCAAGGGAGAGAGCTTTGGAGGAAACATGTAAAACACTGGTCCAGGGAGGACTTCAAATTCAGATAGACTTGCTGTCAGGAGCCAAAATCCCTTACTGCCTTTGTCAGAAGCCCATCACACCGATATTAACAGAGCCAACAGATCCGATCTTCCCGCACTCTGAACTGGCATAACTCCTCTGCTTTCAAGGGAACTTTGCCAGGCAGTGTCCTGGGGGATTTCCTCCCGGCATAATGAATATTAACATATAAGATGCTGAGCCCTCCCGAAGAGAAGAGGATTAAATGCTCTTTTAACGGACTATATGTAGTTTTTAAGCAGCTGATATGGGCACTTGCTCGAGCAAAGATTTGCCCCAGAAAATGGAACCGAAAAGCAAATATTTTGCAATTTGGATACTGGCAGAATTTTAAAATGCTGCAGTGCGCTTAGGGAATAATTGCCTAATGGCTGAGAAGGCTCTAACGGAGACCCCAAAAGGTGACGTGCTTAGTCCTGCTGAGTGTCGGTGATGCTGAGTGTCGGTGCCCCCATCTCACCACCAAATCCACACGTGGGATCCTGGGAACTTGTGCAAAGGTTGTCTGGGCAGTTAGGGATCTTTGTCCTTAAGGGAGCGTGCTGAAGATGATAAAATATGGTGTTGGGGTACAGCAGATGCGATCACAAATCAGTGTAAGGAGACTTGGATACACCCAGGAGAGTGTCAGCAGGAATGGGGGGGGCACCCTGATCTCCTGAGGTCTTGGTAAATCCCAGCCTTGGGCACTGGGGAAGCTGTGGGAGGGGATGGCTTGGTGTTCAGCATAGCCCAGGCACTGCGTGAGGTGGAACCAGGGCTTCTGCCCTGCTCAGCCCTGCTCCTGCTCCTGCCTGCTCAGCCCCAAAGAGCCCAAAGGCACCGTGGGTCTGCCTGGCCTTTCCCACGGTGACCAACACCGCAAGCTCATGTGAGCGAGGGGAGGTTCAGGACCCATAGGGTGCTCCTAAAACACTCGCTGTGCAGGGAAGGGATGGGCCTCCCCATGCCCTGCCACCGGTTTGGCGGTGTCCGTGCCTCTCCGGCACACCAGCGAGCCTTTGTGGTGTGAGCTCAGCGCCAATGCCAGGCACGGGCACTCTGTGGCCACGATCCTGCTTTCATCCTCCACCCCACTCCACAAGGACCTTTGGGAGCATCCTGGGAACCCGCACCAGGTCCTTCGTGGGCAAGGGCAGGTCTCTGATCTCTGCCTGCATGACAAGGGGAGTGTAACACTGGGCTTTCTCTGTTCTGACAGTAAGAAACCAAGATGCTCCGTAAAGAAAGGATCCCTGCCTGGGACAAATGATGGAGCACCGAAGATAAGGTGAGTGTCTCAGCTGTGAAATGAGATCCTGTGCTTTCAGTACGATCAGACAGAGAAGCTTTCCCTTGGCTTCCAAAGGCATTTTGCAATCATTAGATAAGTTAACTATCAGGCTCTGTTCATCTCCCCCATACACCAGAAAAAACAATAACACTCTTTGCATAATAAGATAATTACCGCCCCTTCCAGGCTCTTGGGAAAAGTCGCCTGTGCTCTGTGCTTATGAGATTAAGTGAGCTGAAATCATTCCCCAGAGGTAGGCTGGATCCAGACAAGAGTAGGCAAACCTGTTTGTGCCGTGCGAGACGCGGCGTAACGTGGAGCTGCGCTTCCTCCAGCACCAGCGAGCCTTTCCCCTGCTGCTGGGAGCCATCCCGTCTCCCACACGCTCCGTCCTCCCCGGCAGTGGAGCTCCAGCTTCACCAGCACATCCCGGAGCTGATTCCCCTCTGCTCCGCTCCCTTCCCCGGGCAGAATCTCACCAAAGCAGTTTATGCTCCTTTTACACGTGTCCACCTGAGAGCCCCATGCCAGCACCTCTAGCACCCAGCAGCTTCCCCAGAGGGTGCAGCGCGACCCGAGACCGCCCCGGTTCAATCAGCAGCCTCAGCGTATCCATGAGGAAATACAGGGGATGGGCCAGTGATCTCAGTTGCTCTTTTGCAGCCATTATTGTTTAACTGGGGAATATTTCCCTTGAATGCCTACATGCTTTAAAAAAAAAAATGCAAAGTTTAATGGGAACAAATATTCCCAGGGGGTTGTAGCCTGCCATTGATTTGCACATCAGACCCTGCGATCTTTAAGGCTGGTTCTGAGCTCGGGCAGGCGCCTAAGTCATCTGAAAAACAATAAGCCTCTGTGCTTTAATTTCCCAGAGAAAAATGTAGACGAAACAAGTGGCAGTTTGGCACAAAGCAAACTGCAGAATTTGCTTTAATAACCGGGTGTTTAACGGGAGAAGCCTGTAAGCAGCTGGGGCTCGGCCTGCCTAGTCTGTCCCCGGGCAGGTGTTGGCGAAGCTGCGCCCTGTGTGGGTCTGGGTGTTGAATTTGGGTGTCTCTCGGGGTCGCGCCTCGAATCGCTCCACAGCTAGCAGGGCACCCAAGGAATCCTTTCAGCATCCTTTAGGCTCGCTGGAAACCAGCCTCCCCGTCCTGGCAGTTCATCGCCTGCTTCTGGAGGACTTTGCTGTTGTAATGAGCTCAGGGGAATTAAGAAGATAATTATATGTCTTGCATGTCCTCCTGGGGAAGGCAGAACCAGCTACACTATTTTTTAGCAAAAAAGAAATAAATTAGCCCTGGTCATTGAACTGGTGAGGGACCATTTCACCTGGGAGTCTGAACAGCCCTGGGCCAGGGGCTGGGGGCTCTGCCCCTCTTGCCATTAATCCCCTGCTCACCCGGGGGGGGCAGGTCTTGGCAGCGGGGGCAGAAATCTTGTGTCTTGTAGCATGGGGTGCGCAGAAACGGACTGGCAGGGCTGTGGGGCCCAGCCTGCTGCGGGCAGGATCGTGCCAGGGCAGGGATCCCCCCCAGCCCTGTTCTCGTCGGGGTCAGCGCGGTGCTGACAACATACAGTGTCAGCGTGTGTCCCCCCCCCGGGCTGGGCTTCTGCTCTGTCCCTGCGTGTGTGTCCCCCCCCCGGACCAGACTTCTCCTGGAGGGGTCCTGCCCTGCCTCTGCCCGTCCCCTTAGGACTGGGCTTACCTGGGGGGGACCTAGCTTGTCCCTACATGTCCCCCCCCAGGACCAGGCTTTTCTGGGGGTGTCCTGCCATGTCTGCACATCCCCTCAGATACTGGCTTCCCTGGGGGTCCTGCCCTCTCCCTCCACGTGTCCCCCCCGGACCAGACTTCTCGGGGGGGAGGGTCCTGCCCTGTCTGCATGTCCCCCCCCC